CATCGAATGTTGTGGATACAATTTATGATGAGTTTTAATATTAATACATATTTCGCTATTAACATAGTATATATAGTAGCGCAACTCTCTGTCGGCAACTTTGATGTTAGTGTTGGTCAGAATGGAGCGCGCATGCGTGAAATAAGTAAGTTATCTAGCGTTGCCACGGTTACCACCTAAACTTCCTTCTCTTTTCATTCTTTTTTCACTCTGTCAAAATTCCTCGCAAAACTCACTAGATTTATTCGCATCGTAATCGCAATGAATTCGTTAAAGTGAGTAAATGTTATTGTAGGAACATATTGAAGCATATTAGAACATGCGAGACGAATAAACCTAATATTGCAATGAAATAATTTAATTTAACTTTATGAAAATTAATAAAAATAAATTATAAATATATTGAAAAATAAAGAAAAAATATAAAAAAATATTAAATTGACTTAAAAATATATTTGTATAAAGAAATATTATGTAATCATATATCTATGAAAATATTGCGAGAAAGCTGATATAAAAGAAATTTATATACCTATATGTCCAAAAAATAAGTTTAAAATACAATAAATAAAAAGAAATATAAGTTTAAAATATAATAAATAAAAAGAAATCTTTCTTACTCAGTTTTCTATGTTACTTTTGTTCACTTTTTCACTTTATCACTTTTTCACAAAAATTAAACCAATCTCTCGAAATTTCTCACACAACATTTTACCAAATGAATAATAAACGTAATACTTCTCTCTAAATTTTTATTCTGAATATGTTTGAAAGACAAATATTTAAGTGGAACATTGAAACGCTTTTTAAATAGAGAGAGAGAGAGAGAGAGAGAGAGAGAGAGAGAGAGAGAGAGAGCAATAAAAAAGGAGGAAAAGGAACAGGGCAATTTACTTATTTCATGCATGCGCACTCCATTTTGACTAGCATAAAATCAGAAGAGTTGCGCTAGTTGTGTATATGACTGTGCTATTAGATTAATGTCCAAAGGTTTTCAAATTTCGACAATTTTAACACGTAGTTAGATGATTTTGTATAATAGAGAATAGTAGAATGATAGAATCGCCACAGATTAAGAATAGTCATCGCTGATTTCGCTAATCAGAAATTGATTAACTTTCGAAGATGAACATCCACAAATATGACTTGTACATCATCAATTCTTACATAGTATACTGGGAGAGTAGAATATGAGGGGTGACCATGATCGATGCTTCGGGTCAAATGGTGCACCAAGCAAGCACCACCTTCTTAAACGGAACGAAGATTGCTCGATCCGGATCGCTGTAAATGAGATTTATTTTTGATTAAAATATAAATGAAGCATTTATTACTTCCAATTTAATGAAATATATTCTACATAGCGTTCCAGCAAACAAGAATGGATTGAAATTTTTTCCGAATGCATATTTTAAATAGCGAATACTTTTTTTTGGATTCAATTGGATTCAATTAAATTGGATGCAATTGGATTGAAAAACTGCATATCCTATTCAAAATTCTGAATTAAACAGTATTCACAATGCACAGAAAAAGTTAATATTATTTTTATTGAAAGGCATAGAGATATATTAGGTGTACAACTTTGCCTCCGCCGTTTTTTTTTCCGAAATTCGAGGCTTTATTATAAAAAACTGGTTATACATTTATGATTCAAAGTATTGTCCATCGCTGGCTACTACTTTCTCCCATCTTTCGGGCAGCATACGAATCCCTCGAAAAAACTGGTTATCTTTTGAGGCGATCCACGAATCGATCCAATTTTTTATTTCTTCATAAGACCGGAAGTGCTGGTCAGCCAGGCCGTGCCATTGATCGAAACAAGTGATAGTCAGAGGGAGCAACGTCTGGAGAATACGGCGGGTAGGGTAGGACTTCCCATTTCAACGTTTCCAAGTATGTCTTGACTACTTTCGCAACATGGGATCGAGCATTGTCATGCTGCAAAATCACTTTATCGTGTCTCTCATTATATTGCGGCCGTTTGTCTTTCAATGTTCGGCTCAAACACATCAATTGCGTTCGATACTGATCGCCTGTGATTGTTTCAGCTGTTTTAACAGCTCATAATACACCGAGCTGGTCCCACCAAATACAGAGCATGACCTTGGAGCCGTGAATATTCGGTTTGGCTTTCGACGTGGAAGCATGGCCGGGAACTCCCCATGATTTTCTGCACTTGGGGTTATCGTAATGAACTCATTTTTCGTCCCCAGTCACAATGCGATGCAGAAATCTCTTCCGTCTTTGCCTTTCAAGCAGCTGTTCACAAGCAAACAAACGCCGTTCAACATCTCTCGGCT